TTTTATAAGACCAAGTTTGTATGTTCTTTTATTATTATTTTTTAATGTAGTTTGAATTAGAATATAAAGATTTGAGTATTAATAATAATTGTAATAATATATTTTTGTGTATGTTTTATAGTTATTTATAACAGTTTTTATGATTTTAGATAACAGACTAAATGCGGTACAAATCTATGCAAACAAAACTAGAACCATAAGCCGAGCTTACGTAAGATCATTTCTGTTTGTTGGAATAGTTGATAACTTAGTGAAACCGAACCAGTTAATTAGACTCGAATTTGAATGGACAAGACTTTGAGGATTGAACTACAGTTTTCCTAAAATCTAACCAAAAACTATATAATTCAGCTTTAGTTTTGCTAAAACCGAACTGGAAGAAAAAAACCACTAATCTTTCTATTTTGCTCTTCAACAAAGAGATGAGTTTATGCAGTTATTCTATAAATTCAAACACTCAACACAATAACACATAACCCTAAAAAAAATCCAATGTCCACCAGTAATGGAATAATCACTAGCATATCTGGGTTTGGACGCAAACAAAGAATCAACGTCAAGACGATCGATAACATACCTCAACAATGTTTCCTTTCTCTCTCTATTCCCCTTCATCTGCTTCCAAAGCAACCATAATATTATCCACTCTCTTTTTTCTTTTTMMTCACAATATTATCCGCTCTCTATCACATTTCTTCTAAGATTAGAATCAGTGAATCCTGATCAAATATCATTCTAAGGGTCAAAAGCTGTTTTAGCATAAACCAAGCTTTGAAGAGTTTTACAATATACACACAATTCCTCTACCAAACTCCAGTCCCGACCTTCTTCCATTATTGGTAAAGGACAAGAGTGGAGATCCCAAGAATTTAGGTGCTAAGTAAAATCCTAGCTGAGGAAAGAAGGATGACATAATTTACAAGAATATCATCAATTCGCGGGCATGCCACCGCTGTAAGTGGCATTTGATTTGATGATATCTTAGTGTTTGCCGTACTTCTCGGCGTACCCCTGCAAATGAACAGAAAAACTGTGAGATTAATGCGATATACTGTCAAGTTAGATTTATTTTTACCTGCTTAAGTGTCTTTTTTTTTATTTCTGGCTAAGAAACTCACCTCGACAAGCTTCACAATTCTGGTTGCAGAAGAACCAAGATATTGCTCAACTGATTCGCTGTCAGTTGGCACCTGGTGGAACTGGACAGCAGCGCTGACTACTTTTTCAGCAGCCTTTTTAACTATCATGTTATGCACATCTTTGCTAAGACGACCCTCACGCCACAACGGTTTCAACATTTCTTTAATGGTTTCCACAACTGCAGTCCGGAATTGTCTCATTACTTTCATTCCAGCATCTGACCTTACTTCACCATCTACCTCATCTGATTTCAGTATCTTTTTATACGAAGACCCATCACTTTTATGCCAAGAATCATGCCCTACATGTTTGCTTCTCTTCAAAACAACTCTATTCTCTGCAGCCGCAGACGAAGAAATCTCTTTGCTAGGTGTTGTCGCATCATTTTGATCGACCACCGAAGTAGCCACCCCTTCCACTCCTCCATATGCTTCCAAATTCTTTCTCGCCACAGTTTCTTGGTGCTGATTTTGACTGCATGAACTGTTTTTATCATCATTATTGCATTCCCGTGCTCGGAGACCACTAGCAGAATCACCATCTTTCTCCTGCTGAGAATTTTTCCATGCCTGTTTTCCTTCACTTGACAATGGAACTTTAAGAGATCTGTCTTCTAAATTCTCTATATCCGTGAAAGGATCGTAGAGGGCATCAGATGAGGGAAGTATATAAGGTGGAATTGTAAAAGATGGTTGAAAAGGTTCAGAAGGTTCCCAATCATTTGAAGAAACTTTCTTTTTACTGCTAGTATTGTTGCCTTCAGCATCTTGACCGGAAGAAACAGATATCCCTTGCAGCGTTGGAAGAGATCCAGATCCATATATACTATTCCTATTTTCACAATGTCGCAAGGTAGAACCACCCTCATTCGTAGGTACAGAACTGAATAATGATCCTGTCCAGGCTGGTCCAGAAGACTCCATATCCGCTTTTCCATAGGTATTGATTAAAGATCTATGCTCATGAATGCTTCTCAATGCGAAGGAATTGCTTTTATTAATAACTACAGACCTGTTGTCAGTGAAATCAGCGCCACACTTTTGTTTCAGACCCTCTCTTCCCATGTTTCCATACAAAGACATAAAGTGCATCTCGTTCGGGGATGGGAAAATTCTTTGAGAACCCGAAGGATTCAGAAAAGATATATCCTCTCTGGTATGCAAAGAGGTCTTGCCATTTTCGCTTAACTGAGAAACTCTTAGACCTTCTTTGCTGTCCGATGTTCTTCTTCCTGAACGGTGAAATAAATTATTAGTTGGATCAATTAAAACCCCCAGATGTACTCCGACCCCTATATTATTGGAGCTGCCTCTACATAGGATCTAATATCACAATCTTCAAAAGAATTATCTCATGTTACTTAGTACATACCTTCCTCAGGCAGGATATAACTGCTTCCAGCCATATTATACTCCGACTGTTGGTGACTAGTGTGACTCGAATTCTCTTTCACATGAAGAAACCTGCAGGTATTCCCTTTCATACACCACCCTTTAGCAAAAAACTTGCAGAGATGAGCTGCACGCTTTTGTTCTGGTTCATTCGCTGACGAAAAGCTGTTTGGCATTATACCCGGAGCAGGAAATCTGAGAACCGAATCTGTCAGTAATTATAAAGCTTTAAACATGCAAAATAGAGAAGGTAAACCTCTGAACAACTTCTCTCCACTCTACACTACTTTAGTTACAATAAAACTTAAGCAGAAAAAATTGTTATACCTTGACAAAGTTATCCCTTTTCCATCTTCCAAGTTAACATTCTTCGCAGTGTTCCCGGAAATATTAGGTTGTGAGTTTCCTTTATCTTCAGCTAAAGCTTGTACCTTTTCTGAGTTTTCGAAGCTCCCGCATGAATCCTTTGTGATTTTTGATTGCTCATCTAAAGGTGTTGTAATGTTCCCATTGAGGAGTGGACATGACTGCCTCTTCACATCTACAAGGGACGAGCTATTACCCATAAATGCATTTTGAAATAACAAAAAGGGATCCTAAATAAACAAGCACGATCCCGAATACACAAAGATCATACAAGAATTTTGAGGAGGATGTTCTATAACCGTCTATTAAAAAACACAATCTTTACAAGAGAGCTTCAGTGAAACTCAGAGAAATCTAATAGCATGACCTCTCAAATCATTGCCCACCTCAAATCAGAGCTAAAACTGAGTTAATTTTACAATATTCATCAAAACTCCGCAAACACCAATCAGAAACAGAGGCGTTTCTCAATCAAATCAATTCACCAACTTGACACAACAACAAACCGAGTACCATCAAATACTAACCGCTATGCGAATTGGAAGCTTGAATTGGTCTATGGAGAAATTCAGACTCTCCTGCAATTGTATGGGCATCTTTCTCCGCCGCTTCCTCGCGCCATTGTTCATGTACTTGAACATCATCATCGTCAATGTCCATATCGGAATCAGACATCTCGAAGGCTCTAATTTAACGTCTTCGGCGAGCGACGGTGGTGATAAAATAGTGCGGCGTGATCGGAAACCAAGCTCAGGCGGGTCTCTCGAGTCGTGATCCCCTAGAAGACTAGCCAGAGACGACCATTGATACATACAAGATACGGTCCTATGTTATTTCATGGGCCTTCCTAAATATGGCCCATTTACGTTGACTTCTCTTTTGGGTTTGGA